ATTTACTATTATAGAATCCACGTTTTCATTCAAAAACATTTTTGATAGAGAGTTAATTGCTATGAGATAAAGAATATGTTCAAACTCAGTTCCCTAAAGTAATGAGGTAATTTTTGTAAGACTTCACAGGACAATAAGGGAAGCAGAAATTTGAAGGAAAGCCAAAAGTAGACACAAAGCAAACTTTCTCTCCACTTCTGCCCAGACTGAACTCCTCTCACTTCTTCTGTGAGGCCATGTTCTCTCCCACCATTGGGCCTTCTGACAAGCTATTTCTTCTACCTGCAACGACCTTTTCTCTTCTAGGAAAATCCTATTCAATCTTCAGGTCTCCATTTATCTTCACTTCTTTACTCCCCTAACACCTTGTATTTTAGCTATGAAAAATTAATCAGGCCCTGGCTGGTGTAGCTCAGTGGATTGAGCACAGGCCTGTGAACCAAAGCATCACTGGCTTGATTCCCAGTCAGGGCACATACCTGCGTTGTAGGCCAGGTCCCCAGTAGGGGGTGTGCTAGAGGCAACCATACATTGATGTTTCTCTCCCTCTCTTCCCCATCTCTCTAAAATAAATAAATAAATTCTTAAAAAAAAGAGAAAAATTAATCACACTAATTTTTCCCCATACACTGGAAGTTTCATGAAGTATAAATTTATTCTGCTCCCTTCTGTATCCTCCGTTCCTGGCCCATTGTGTGAGTCTAGTAAACGATAATGGAAAAATAAATGTCTGGAACTCTGGTGACTGACTGCATCTGGGAAGTTTCATGTGGAGTATCACAACTATACTTACAGATAATACACATTACGATATCCTTTGGATGGTTAACTATAAAATTTTTTGTTTATTTTTATGAGTGGGTCATTTTGCATATTAAAATTTAAAAATTAAAAATAAGATATGAACATTATGTTTTAAGTCTCTTGGGATAGTAATAATGTTCAAAAGTATTGAAACATTAAAACATGGAAAAAGAAAGTATTTTTTCACAACTTGACAAGAAGAGCTTGTAGGTCAACATTGGGGGTTGCACCTGCTGGTGACATAAATCCAGGCTGCAGGTAGAGAACATCTTTTTATGTAAGTAGTACTTCAAAAATGAAAAAAGATTACAAAGGAATCCAGCATGATTTTCCAAGTGTAAGCTGCTAACTGAAAGAGTAACAAAATCAAGTCCTGATCAGTGTGGCTCAGTTGATTGAACATCGTCCCACAAAGCAAAAGGTCTCTGGTTTGATTCCCAGTGAGGGCATGTGTCCACGTTACAGGTTCAATCCTCGGTCCAAATGCATACAAGAGGCAACCAATCAAGATTTCTCTCTCTCATCAATGTTGCTCTCCCTGCCTTCTCCTTTCTCTAAAAATAAATAAATAAAATCTTTTTTTTTAACTTTATTTAAATTGTTGTTGCAGAACAATTTTCTATCTTTTACTCCCATCCCAACCCACCCACCCAACCCTCCCCTCCTCCCTCCCATTTCCACCCGCCCCTAGTTTTTATCCATGTGTCCTTATACTCGTTCCTGTAAACCCTTTCCCTTTTCCCCTGAAATTCCCTCTCCTCTACCCTCTGGACTCTGTCTGTCTGTTCTTTATTTCAGTGTCTTTGGTTATATTTTGCTTGTTTCTTTGTTTTGTTGTTTAGGTTCCTGTCAAAGGTGAGATCATATGGTATTTGTCTTTCACTGCCTGGCTTATTTCACTTAGCATAATACTTTCCAGTTGCAAAGCATATAAAATCTTTAAATAACTATCATCAAAGGTATAAAGGACAAATCTAATGAAAACAATATTTAAGCATCCTATAAACTCTGAAGGTTTTAATTTGCCACCAAATACTATTAATATCATGAAATATAGTGATATCTATGACTGGCCATCTAGATTATGGCAAATCTAATAAATTAGCTTTAAAACCAAGAGCCCATAAAATATTTTCTAAAAATATTTTTTTTCATATATAGGAGCTTTTGACAAAACCCTTGAATATGGAAAAATATTTATGGTTTATGAAAAATATAAGGTTTATGAAAAATATAAGGTTTATGAAAAATATAAGGGAAAGTTCTAATTAAATGTTGAGAATGACATCTTGTACTTTTAGCTCAGTGGTTTGTTGAAAATTTCATCTTTGTTTAGCTTTCTTTAAAACTGCATCTTGGGCAAAAGCAGGATTATTTGTAGCACGATACCAGGCAAGTCTCAACCACTGGGTTAAGATGCTGTGCTGAGCTTGTGTCTTTAGCTTCAGAAGAATCTAGCCCTGCATTTCTGCTTCAGTCATAAGAATTCTTGATAATCTGCTTGAGTAGTTGCCTTACTTGGAACACTGTTAGAATATGTCTATAATAAGAGATGCGTGTAAGTGTACCCTCATCTCACTAAAGTTCCACAAGTGGGCTTTTAAAAATTAGTTTCTACACAAGCTGATGGATTGTGTTTGAGTTTATTTCTGCTGTGTTTCATTGGAGATTTGGATTTGAGATGGATAAGTGAAAGCTTAGAGTCATAGACCCTCAGCAGCAGCCTTCCTGGCATGATTCATTTCTATAAGGAAAGGTAGAACAAATGACATGTCTAGGATTTTTCCAGACTTATGCTAAGACTATTAGGAGAATGTTTTGTGATTGGAATTGGTGAGCTCCTTTCCCAGGATTTATCATTGTGTATGAGCACAGACTTTCAGACTACATGTCCCATACCGTGTCTAAGATACTTTAGAGCTAAAAAATGTTTGTCATCCCCTGCCAGTTAGCTCAGAGGGCTGGAGAGCTGCTCTGATGAAGCCAAGTCACAGGCCCCTTCCCTGCAGAAGCTGGTTAATGTCAAACAAAGAAGAGAGTTGTTCCCTGCTAAAGCTTGCACCGTGAATCTCAGCCAGCTCTCAGCTGCAGCAAAACTCAGTTAGCTTACTCTTGATCGTAGAAGAAACCAGGAAGGAGAATGTAGGTGAATCAATGCAAAACTATCATCACTTTCAAAAAGATCATTTTAATGTAGTCATTTCCTACTGACAGTGTCAACAGCAGTATCTTTTTAGTCAGAAGATATTAAATATATATTCTGCAACTTGAGGAAATTGTTTTTTTGTCTCCTTAAATTCCTTCCTATGTGTTGATAATTCTTGGAATGCTGACGTTGACAACATCTGAATCTGTATTATGTATGGGACGTAGAGTGGCACGACCTTTGTAGAGAATATGTATTTCTTGGCTACAGTCACCATATATAATGGATTGCTTGACTCATACTTGAGATGAGTTGCAGCAGGCGATGTATACTCCTCCACCTTTCACCGGGTCTCTTTGCAGTTTATGGCCACAAGTGGATAGCTCTTTAACCCTTCCTGCAACACACGGACTTCCCATCCTGAATTTAAATGAGAAAAAAAGAAAAGCAAACTAGGTGGTTTTATTCTCAACCTCAGGGAATGAGGAGAAAACTCAACCTTTTCTCTTCAGATTCCGCTGCCTAAAATACATGTCCCAGAAATTCATACCTCTCCTTCCCTGATTTTATTGAAATTTCTGTGAAAAATTCCAGCTCTTTCGAGAGCACTTCCAAAAGCATCGTTTCTGCCGCGATAGTCTTCCGGCCCCCAGCCCTTATCTCCTTACCCTGCTTTCATTTTTTATAGCACTTATCTCTGTGTAATATCAGATTTGGTCATTGGTTTGTCTGGCCCCATTGCAAAACAATGCCTGGAACAGAGTAAGTGGTCAATATATATTTATTGAAAATTATTTCATAAGTGTAAACAGAAGTTAATAAATCGACATTGTAACAGCAATAGCACGATGTGCACATGCAGTGACGTTTTTGTCCCATTGCCTTGGGTTCATTTAAGAACACTGTTTCCTTTCAGTGGCCCATCATCTTAATCTTCCCAGGGAAACATCTTACAAAATCTGAATAACGCCTTGTTTCCTTGTCACAAAGTTGCGAGTAATCCCCAGGGTTTGTTGTTGTTGTTAACTAACACTTTCTTCAACTTTTACTACGCCAAGCTATTTTTTGCTAATGGAGATAAAGTCAATGTAATGTAAAGTTAACCACTTTGAAATATGCACTTCTGTGTCATTTAGTACCTTGACAATAATTTGAAACCACTACTTCTATCTAGTTTTAATACATTTTTATCAATACTATTATTTTTTAAAAACCTATTCATCTTTTTAAAATTTTTTGTTGTTATTCTATTATAGCTGTCCCCACTTTCCCCCTTTGCCCTCCTCTGCCTGTTCCACCCGCTCCTCCCACAGCCAGTTCCCACACTGTTGCCCGTGTCCGTGTGTCATTCATTTTATAGCTGTAGAAAATTAACTCACTACTTTGCAAAAATTGTAAATAAAGGGAAAGAATCAAGCATTTTCTCATCACCCTATATAAGCTATTATATGGGGAAACCAAATAGTAGTTCAGAGAAAAGTAGATCTTAATAAAAGTGTACAAATGTTACAAAAAGAAAGACTTCTAGACGTTCTGTGTCCTGTAATAAAAGAAGATAATGTCATCTATAGTTTTGCCAAAGAGAGAAAATAGAATTTGTCCAAGATTTTGCATGTAGCTGCCAATTTTCAGAAACACAAAGGACAGGGGAACATGTTGAATGGGAAGAAACTTCTTAATAAGTAAGAGGTTTTAGTTGAGAGTGATGGAAATGTTTTTGAAATTAGATTGACAGAAGTGGTGGTTACCAGCATTATAAAGGTATTAAATAAAAAAAATCTAAAATTCCACTTATACCTCTTTATAAATTCTGTGCAATAGACGATCATACTCTGCTTTGGAGAGAAGAAGAGCAATGGAGAGAGGCTAGTTTGGAAATGGTTACTTTAGACAAAGAAAGGTCAGACTCTCTTCCTTGGCTCATCATCATTGTGGCAATTATTTCATAAAACGAAAAGTTTCCATTTCCCCCATGTATCAAGTTCATTTTAACACATTTCCTCTGGCTTAGCTATGGACTGTTTAAACATATGTTTCTTGTATTTTACAGACATACTTGGCAAGTGCAAGATAAAATCGATGCAAACAATGTGGCTTACACAACTGGGAAGCTAAGCTTTCACACTGATTATCCAGCTCTCCACCATCCACCTGGGGTAAGGTGAGCCTCAGCACATTCCACAGGGCAGGCCAAGGACCAACATCCTCTGTTGTGAGCCGAGAAGACTATATTATATAGCTAATTTGTGTTATGTAGATCTTCTTTCTCCAGACTGAAAGAACCTCTGTACCTAAATCCTGAAGAACTTCACATTCCTAAGAGATAAAAGATTTTCATGTATACTTTTTAACAATTTTTGTTTCTCCCTGTAACTAGCGGACTTTTTGCTTTGCCAAGACATTTTACCACAGCAGTACATCCTGAGGTGTTTTCACACGTTTATCATTCCCAAGAGGGTTAAAAGAAAAAATAAAACAAGAGAACAATGTAGGGTTTTCCCCACAAAGTCATATGGCCATCATTCATATTAGCTATTACTAAAAAAAAAAAAAAATCCCCACGCCATAACTTAGTGGCTTAAAAGAATAACCACTTGCTTAGGTCATGTTTTTACAATTTGGGCTGTGTTCCTCAGGCAGTTCTGCCGCTGCTGAGTCTGCCGGGGGCTGCTTGGCCGAGGTGGTGGTTGAGATGGCCGGTCTCCACTCCACTTTCTCTATCGCATCTTCCTCCAGCTGGCTAGCCCAGGCTGCAGCACATGCAGCTGGCAGTATTTCCAGAGAGCCAGCCAAAATCTACGAGGCTTCTCGAGACCCGGGCTAGTAATCAACACGGTGTCACTTCTGCCATGCTATTTGGTCAAAGCAAGTCATAAGTTTAACCCAGATTCAAGAGGGGAGGAAGCAGAGTCCACCTTTTATGAAAGAAGCTGCAAAGATGGACTACAAAGGGGTGTAAATACAAGGAGCAGAACATCCTTGTCAAGTTTTAGAAACCATCTACTCCCCCATCTACCAGATTCCTCATCAAGGGCGGGCATGTTCAGCATGGAGCCACAGAGCCCCCAGGAGAGTGCCTGGGACCCTCTTCCACTAAATTATTACAAAATTGTCATTTTACTAAACTAGCTGCATTTTTACAAAAGCATGATTTTGCTAAACCAAAAAAATAAATGGTTAGGAAACTACCTTTGAAAAGATACTTTGTTCCTATTTTTTATCATAGAAATGTGCACTTTATTTTTTTATTGTTGTTCAAGTACAGTTTTCTACCTTTCCCCCACCTCCCCCCACCACCCCAAACCTCCCTACCTTCCTCCCCTGTTTCCATCCCCCCATTTGTTCCTATTTTTAGAACTAAATGGTACTAAATGAAATATTACAGAGAAATCAGTATCTTCAAAGGTAAATGGAAGTGGAAATTTGGGACAATTCTTTAGTTAATGAAGGTAAAATGGGGGAAAATCAAAATTAGTCTGTTTTTCATCATGTTAACTGAACATGCTTTCTCTGTGCCCTTATTGTTACCCATTGTCCTTGACAGTATTAATTAAGCTAGTCTAGAATATGACTTTATATTTTAAATGATTTTGTTGATTGTAAAATACCACATGATTTCTTTGAACTAAATGGCACTGAAATGCCCACTGCAGTCACCTTTTCGGGTGGGGTTTGGGGACAGGAAGAGACACACAATATCATTTGTTTTAACTGTGGTTCAGAAACCCACAATTTCTAAAACCCTTATGGTTAAAAGCCAAACTAACCAGCTCAGTTCATCTGCTCAAGATAGGTTGGAGAAGTTAGAAGCAATAAAGTTTTAAAAAATGGACTAACAACCAAACTTCTTTGTGAATTTTTAAATTATCTGCTGGTTTTTACGAGTTGAGGTTTGTTTCTGGGTTAAAATTGAAAGCCTATGGAAAAGTGATTAAATGACTTCATAAATATTCCTGAAGTAGAATATAATGCTTGACATTTTCATAGCATTTTATACTTTTTCAAAGCATTTTTTACTTATATGACTTTATCTGATACATTCCTTTAAGGTAGACAGAATGGATCATGTCTTTTTCATGTCAGATGAGGAAATGACACACAGCAAGGTTAAATACTTTCACAGGGTGACATCTGATTAATAGGGAACTTGGACTTGAACCCTGGCCTCCATCTTTCACTGCACCATATGGGTCTTGAGTTGGACTTCCTAACTTCCATAATTTATGTAATGTGATGATTATTTATAGACACTGTCATACATTACAAACTTCAAATTTAGGAACTTAATCTTAGACTTCTCTATATCTCAAGACTTAACACCTTTCATGCAATAGAGACTTAACAGATATGCTATAAAGACTGGGGGTGAGGGGGAAGCCACAAATTTGTGCCTGTCTGCATCAGCAAAGGAAACATCCAAAGTTAAATGACCCAGTAGAAGATTTTTTAAATAAAAGGTGATTCTCAAAATGTCCAGATTCTAGTAGCAGAATAATTTCAATGTAGACGGTCTTTGTGTATTGTTCAAGTTTCCCTTTTGAATTGTTGAGCGGTTTTTGTCCCTCAGTTGGAGTGTTTTTATAACAAGCAGAATTAGTCAGTGCTCTTTTAGTCCAGATGCAATGATCTGGATCAGTTACCTGTTGAGAGTTCAGTTTGACCAATTTGGATCACATGGGGCAGGGACAAGGAGACAGCTTTAATGAAACACAGATGTTGCTTCGCTGACTTCTTTGTTTGGTCCAAGAGTCACGTGCTGCCATAAAGTAACATTTAGAAAGAAAATATCTTTGGTCCTGAATGACTTACATGAAATAAAATTGGGTTTTCTACACATCAGACATATATTTTCCTTTTCAATTAGCAGTGAAAGCATTGTCTGGCTCCATCAGCGTTCTTCTTTCATAGGATTACATTAAAATGTAAGTCCACGAGAAAAGATTATGACTTGGCCTTGCCAGATGTAAAAGACATCAGCTGACCTTTTTTAAAGATTTATATTTGAAATACTCTATGACTTCATTATGGCAAAGTCTAAAAGGATTTAAAGAACACTCTGATTCTCCCAGAGACAGCTACAATGTTGTTTTGCCTTCTTGCCGTTTGGTAGATTTGAAGGTGGGATTTTCGTCTTACCTTCTTTTTAATCACGCTGTTTCTCCCCTCATTGCCCTGGTAATGAGAGTGTTTTCTACAATGACTCAGTCAGCTTAGGCACCTGTTTTTCTTAGTTTCAAAAAACTTGCATCCATTTAAGAACTGAGCTATTATGAATTTAGACCAGTTCTCTCCTAACAACAGAAAATGAGTTATTATCAATCTAAAATGGAAGTTAAAGTTTACAAAACATATAGATGCACACCACACAATACTGAATTATTAGGAATACTGTAAAGAGATTTCCCTCTTTATAGGAAAGGAACTGGCTGCCTGAGGATTCTGAGGCAAAGAGACCAAAGTTTGAATACCAGTGTTACCACCTATTAGCTGAGTTGTACTAGCTGGCCAAAAATTTCAGCTCTGGGTCTCACTCAGTTTCTTCACCTATAAAATTGAGATGAAGGTATAAATTCTAAGTACCGTCGTAAAGGCTTAATAAATCTAAATTATGTGGTCATAATTTGAGAATAAGCATATATAAGATTTAATATATTAACAAAATGTATGCAGTTTTGGAAGGAGGGAGGATTTGTGTTCTAGACCTGCACTATTTCATACAGTAGTCACAAGTCACAAATGATTATTTAAATTTTAATTTACATTAGTTAAAATGAAATAAAATCTAAAATTCAGCTCCTGGGTCATACTAACCACATTTTAAGTGCACTAGAGCCATGTGGGTCTAGTGACTGCACTTCCATCATTACAGAAAGTTCAAATGGGCAGCGCTGTTGTAGACAATATAGAGGTAAGCAAGTAAATGGATATTTTCCCCACTCATAATCACATGCCCCTAGTCTGGATATTTGATCATATTTGCTTCTTCCCTCCTATAAGAACTGTTAAACAATTTTTTATATTTTTTTACTCAGTAAGAATAACGTTTTCATAACTGAATAGTTTTAGTTTCCCTCAGCAGAAAATCATCGTCTAAATATAGGTATTAAAAATAACCCATCCGCGCTGACTTGCCAAGAGGAGTACCATAACCAAATAAATAAACTTCAATAAAAAAATCTTTACTATGTTTTGATTTTCAAAATGAAATAATGTTAAACGTTATGTTTCCTCCTGAATCTTAGTAAAAATAACTACTATCCTTTTGGTTTCTTGGGTTTATTCATCTTCATAGACCACTCCACCTCATTACCTTCTTATCTTTACAAGTGAACTATCACATTAGACTCTCACTGCTTCCCACCTTACATAATTTATCCCATGTAACACCACTGGACTGATATTCTCCAGTTCAGTCTTTCCTTCCACACTCAAAAGCCTTTCACTATCCTCCTCTCAGCACCAAAGTCCAATACCCTTCATCTGACATTCAAGACTCTCCATGATGAGGTTCCAAATTACCTTTCCACTGTATCTACTATTCCCAGGTGTGACCCTCTGCTGAAGGCAAACTTTTTGATACCCAGGGGTGTGATTCTCTCTCTTCATTCTATTCTACATATTCAACATTGTATCCATCCTCCTTGACCCAGATGAAATCCCACCTCCTTTGTAAAGCCACCATCATATGCATGAATACCCCAACATGAAGTGCTAGCTCCCTTCAGTGATTATCCTCTGTGCCTTTTGTTCGTGAGTGAACACTAGCACGCCTGTGTCCATGTTTTCAACTGTAACAATGTTTGAACTATAAAATATTGATAGCAAGCAACTTTTTCTCCCCTGCCCTTTTCTCTGCTGACAGTAACAAATGAAAAAGGTTGGTCAGTTTCAGTGCATCTATATCTTTCTGTAGCTTTCTTTAAATATTGTGTCAAAAAATGTAAGTACATATCATTTTAAAATGTATTTCTCTCTATTTCTTTTTGAAGGTTCAGCTTCTCCACTGCATAAAGCAAACAGTTACTGGGGGAGATTCGGAAATTGTCGATGGATTTAATGTGTGCCAAAAGCTCAAGGAAAAAAATTTGCGGGCATTCCAGATTTTGTCCTCTACCTTTGTGGACTTCACAGACATTGGAGTGGATTACTGCGATTTCTCTGTACAATCCAAACACAAAATTATAGAGTACGTGTTTTTTATAAATTTGTCAAAGCAATAAGACAACTGACAGCAAAAGCTGTATTAACATAAAGCTTAAACAGCAAAAAGCTTCAGTTAACTGCAGAGTTTACTTTTTATTAACTTTTAATCCAATTTTACAGGGAAAAGGGGGGAAACAGAATCTTTTCACCATAAAAGAATTACTTATCTAATTTTATAAAATCTCTGTTCTTTGTCAATTTGGAGAAATAACTAAGACTTCACATACACTTAAATTCTCCTTAATTTTTAAAACCTAAGTTCTACGTATTTGTAATCAGTATGATTGTCCTAGTCAGAATTCTTCCAGCCAGAAGTAAAAGGATCTAATGCATTAGATAGATCCAGGAGTTAAACAGTGTTATCTGAAATTGATCTTTTTCTTCACCTCTTAGCTTTTCCATCCTTTTTGTTGGCTTATTTGCACAGATAATAAATGGGAATTCCAAGCTCTCATTATTCTTAGAGCTGGTAATCACAACAAAGAGAAAACTCATATTTCCCAATAGCTACAACAAAGCTCAGTGATTCACTGCCCAGTTTGTATTCAAGTGTACCCTTGAAGCAATCCCTGTACAGAGAAAGTCAGACAATTCTAACTAGCCATTCCTGGGTCACACATTGATCTCTGGAGCAAGGACAGCCTCATGTGAACCACATGGGCTGAGAATGAAACAAGGATGTCTCCCCAAATTGATGCCAACAAAAATCATATGTTCCCTCCATACAATGTTTGGTGTTCTGTTTTCATTTGACATCACTTGACGATAAATTTTTAAGTATATACAAAAGCCACAGATTTATCCTTTTATTTGAAAATTACCTTACATTGTGTTTCTAGGACATGGTTGATTTAATCAGATCCTGTTGTGAATTTTGAGGTGTTTATAATTTTGGAACTGACTTTATATTCTTCTTTTAGGAGAAATGGCCATCTAATATGCAAGTAAACTCATTTAATAAATAATCAAATTTTCAGTATACTAACTCAGCTGTCTAATATACACATAGAGCCTTTATTTATTCATTCGACAAATATTTATTGAGGCCAACCACTCTCCTTGGTGCTTAGCATATGTCAGTGAACAAAACAAAGGTCCTTGTCCTCATGCAACTTATAGACTAATAAAGAGAAGAAGAGTTAGAAATTTTTTTTAAATGAGTGAATTACAATGAACATTAAGTACTCAAGAAAAAAGGAAAAGTAGGGCAAGATAAGGAGAATTTGTAGGACCAAAGATTAGGGAGGGTAGAACTTGCATCACTGAACAATGTGGCAAGGAAAAGCTTTACTGAGTAGGTGATATTTAAACGAAAACATAAAGGAATGAGGAAGATTGTCCAAAAGATAAGCAGTTTGCTGAAAGAACAAGAGCAAAGGAGCTAAGAGGGCCTGAGAACATGCCTGGTGCAATCAAGGAAAGCAAAGGGACGGTGAAGGGCGTAGTATTAAGAGAGACGGTCAAATGGGGGCAAGTTCAAATAGAACCTTGTTAGTCTTTGTAAGTCATTGGATTTCACTGGGGTGCTGCTGCAAGACTTCGAGCAAAAGAGAGGTATATACATTTGTACAAATTTATGTACATTTTAAATCCATCATCTTGACTGCTGTGCTGAATGGAAGGCAAAAAGCAAGGAGTGGAACAGGAAGACCAGGTAGGAAGCGACTGCAGAACTTCTAGTTAGAGGAGAGGGTGCCTTGAACATGAGTGGTCCAAGTGGTGATGGTGGGAGTGTGAAGAAGGGTTCATTGGGATGCATTTTGTAGGTCAAAGGAGCATAGTTTTCTATTATAGTAGATGAGTGGTGTGAGAGAAAGAGAGAGAGAGACTTCAAAACTAAATTCTAGCTCAGAATAATGTTCTCTGAGAGATCAGTCATTGAGGTGGGAAAGAGAAATAACTTTTGTATTACCAGTTTTAACATGATAGTTTTAATTGCTCAGAAGTTATCTTAAAAACCCAGGAGAGACAGAGAAACACTAATACTAAATGATTTCACTTATATGTGTAATCTAAATAACAAAATAAACAAAACAGAAACAAACTCATAGATACAGATAATAAACTAATAGTTGCCAGAGGGGAGGGAGTTAGGGGTGGGTTGAAAACGTGAAGAGATTAAGTAGTTACAAAATGTCATGGAGATGTACAGCATAGGTAACATAGTCAATAATATTGTGATAACTCGATATGGTTCCAAGTGGGTACTAGACTTACCAGGAGGGACCCACTGGGAGGGAGAAGAACCATAACAAATTTTAATTTTGTTGTGGCACAATATGATTGCAATGGTACAAGGGCCAGTGAAAAGATGCAAAAAAAAAATATGGGCTATTGAGTGAGATTAACCTAATGTTGACCATCTGAATCTCTATTTGGCTTTCTTATTTGGGGTAGAAAAAGTCCAAAATTGGCTATTTTCATGGTCTTGGGTTATATCAAGAATATCAAATATTTAACATTAACTTGCTTAAAAATGTATTTTTAACAACAGGAGAGGAAGCAAAGAGAGTTTCAGTTAATCAAGAACCTTGGTCATCTCTATGTTTGGGTTCATTCCATTTTCTTTTTAATTAAATTCTTTAATTATTTTGTGATGTTTATGTCCTATCTAGTATAAAAAGACCTTGGCAGCTGTTGACAAAGTACAGTACAAGAGAAAAAAAACAAATAAACTTGTACAAAAATAATAATGGTAAGATTAAACAATAACAATACTTCTTAGTGGTTACAGATTCAATCACAGGAATAAATCTCCTTCTCTGTTAGTGGTACGAGTGTGGTAAAGTGACGTCTTGATTTTGGTCAAGTGACGTCTGTTGGCTAAACTACAGTGAAAAAAAGGGGTGGGGGAGTGAGTAAAAAGGGAGTAATATTAATCCCTACCACATACAGTTGAAGTGGGAATTACTGGAGATAATAAATGAATGCTCTCTTCTGACTCAGGAAGGGCAGAATATATTTTAGCTAGCTTTAATTTCCATAAAGTCCAACACATTTACCAGTGATAGATTTCAATTTCAGCTGTGAGTTTCTTAGAAACCAATAAAAAAAAAAGAAACATTTAATTAGCAAGATTCAAAATGCTTCTAATCCGAAATAAATATTTTTTACTACAGATCCTCATAAAATTTGATGTAGTGGGCAACACTATAGTGACATTTCAAATACCATCTCTCTCAATGAGACATAATATTGTAACAAACGAGAAGGAATTACAGCACCAGCTGATTGTAGGAGGTGATTCTACAATCCTTTTGCTGTGTTCTTTTGTTGGCACTGCTGATGATCTTTTGCTGGTTTGTAGTTACCATGTTGCTGATTTATGTTTAAATCCCTATACTTCAGGTATAGTTGATATATAGCAAACGGTTCCTCACTTTGTGGGGCTTTCACCCTTCCTCAGCAGGTAACCCTGCATTGGGACCTTCCTCTCATTCTGTTGTACAAATAATTTCCTTCTTACAAAGATTCAGTTTCAGGTTGCTCTTCAAGATGCCAGCCACTCATCTCCTTTAACATTTTTCAATCATCAAAATAATGTCTTCTCTAGACCTTACAGCTAACTTGCTCTCTATTTCCCCTCATGTCATTTCTGAGAATGCTAAATAACAAATTTGTGTCTTGTTTTCTCAGACAGAAAGTACATGCCAGGTGAAAGGAGACCAAGACTGTGACACACACACACACACACACAGAAAATTGATTATTTTTGCTTATATATGTGAATTCTTGGAAATGAAATCTTCACACAATGTACCATGAGACATATGATTCTGATTTCATTATAGTAATAAATCACCAAGTTCCTTTAACTGGTATGTGAGAATACTCACATGACTCTAAAATAGAGCGCTCATAACTAGCATAGTCATTCCCATCAAGAAATTGTGGTGTTAGCAAAAAAAAGAACTGATTACCAGAGTGGCTAGGATGAAAAGCCCCCAAGAAGTTTCTTTTTAAAAACTTTTTGATGTACTTTATCCCATTACCATTTATTCCTCTTATACCCTACACCCTCCCTTGTAATCATCACACTGCAGTTCAAGTCCATGAGTCTTTTTCCCTTTTTGCTCCATCCCTCCACCTACTATCCCCTCCATGGCTGTCGTTCTTGTCATCCTGTTATGAGTCTGTCTCTACTTTGATTGTTAGATCAGTTGGTTCATTGGATTCCACAAATGAGTGAAATCATATGGTACTTGTCTTTCTCTGACTGGCTTATTTCACTTAGCATAATGTTCTCCAGCTATATCCATACTGTCTCAAAGGGTAAAATTTTCCTCTTTTTTAAGAATGAGTAGTATTCCATTGTGTAAATGTCCCCTAGTTGTTTTATCCATGCATTTACTGAGGGGCACTTGGGCTGCTTCCCTATCTTGGTAATTGTAGATAATGCTGCAATGAACATAGGGGTGCTACTGTCCTTTCAAATTAGTGTTTTGGGGGGTTTTTAGATATATACCCAGAAGTGGGATTGCTGGGCTAAAAGGCAAATCTATTTTTAATATTTTGAGGTATCTCCCATACTCCTTTCCACAGTGGTTGTACCAGTCTGAATTCCCACCAACAGTGCAAAAATATTCCCTATTCCCCACATCCTTCCCACACTTGTTGTTTGTTGATTTATTGATGATAGCCATTCTGGCCAGTGTGAGGTGATGTCTCATTGTGGTTTTAATTTGCATTTCACTGATGACTAGTGATGTTGATCACCTCTTCATATGTCTATTGGCCATCTGTTTGTCCTCTTTGGAAAAATGTCTGTACAGATCCTTTGTCCATTTTTCAATTGGGTTGTTTGGTTTTGGTGTTGAGTTTTATAAGTTTTGGATATTAACCTCTTATCAAATGTATTGGCATATATGTCCTCCCATTCCTTGGGTTGTCTTTTTACTTTGTTGATGATTTCCTTTGCTGTGCAAAAACTTTTTAGTTTAGTTTAGTCTCATTTGTTTATTCTTTTCTTGTGTTCCCCTTGACTAGAGATATATATCTGATAAAATATTGCTATAAGAATATCCAAACTTTTGCTGCCTATGTTTCCTTCTAGGATTATACTGGTATTGGGTCTAACATTTAAGTTTTTAATCCATTTTGAATTTATTCTTATGTGTGGTGTAGGAAGGTGGCCTAGGTTCATTTTTCTGCACACATTTGTCCAATTTTCCCAACACCATTTATTGAATAAACTATGTCAGGACATTGTATGTGGTTGCTTCTTTTGTTGAATATTAATTGACATTAGAGGTTTATTTCTGGGCTCTCTATTCTGTTCGTTGGTCTATGTGTCTGTTTTTATGACAGAACCATGTTGTTTTGATTACTATGACCTTATAGTACGGTTTGATAGAAGGTAGCATGATTCCTTAAACATTATTTTTCTTTCTCAAGATCACTGTTGCTATATAGGGCCTTTTGTGGTTCCATATAAATTTTTGAAATATTTGTTCTGGTTCTGTGAAATACATCATTGGAATCTTGATAGGAATTGCGTTGAATCTATAGATTGCTTTGGGTAGTATGGACCTTTTAATGATATTAATTCTTCCTATCTGTGAACAGGGTATGTGCTTCCACTTAATTGTATCTTCTTCAATTTCTTTATTTAGTATACTATAATTTTCTGAATACAGATCTTTTATCTCTCTCGTCAGATTTATTCCCAGGAATTTTTCTCTTTTTGAAGCAATCATAAATGGGATTGTTGCCCTAGTTTCACTTTCTGTTAGTTCATTATTAGCATATAAAATGCAGTTGATTTCTGGATAATAATTTGTATCCTGCTACATTGCTGAACTCATTTATCAATTGTAGTAGTTTCTTGGCAGAATCTTTAGCATTTTCTTTGTACACTATCATGGCATCTGCTAACAAAGGTAATTATACTTCTTCATTTACAATTTGGATGGCTTCTAATTCTTCTTGTCTGAAAGTGGACATCCCTGTGTTGTTCCCAATCTTAAGGGGAACATTGTAGTTTTAACCCATTGAGTATGATATTGGCAGTGGGATTGTCATACACGGCCTTTATTATGTTCAGGTATGTTCCTGCTATTCCCACTTTGCTGAGAGTTTTTGCCATAAATGGCTGCTGGATTTTATCATATGCTTTTTCTGCATTTATTGATATTATCATGTAGTTTTTATCGTTCATTTTGTTTATGTGGTGAATCACTTTTATTGATTTGTGAATGTTGTACCAATGTTGCATTCCCAGAATAAACCCCATTTGATCATGATGTATAATCTTTTTTTTAAAGATTTTATTCATTTACTTTCAGAGAGGAAAAGAAGGGAGAAAGAGAGAGAGAGAGAAACATCATTGTGTGGTTGCTGGGGGTTGTGGCCTGCAACCCAGGCATGTGCCCTGACTGGGAATCGAACCTGCAATGCTTTTGTTTGCAGCCCAAGCTCAATCCACTGAGCTACACCAGCCAGGGCTAATCTTTTTTAAGTATTGCTCCATTCAGTTTGCTAATATTTTAGTGAGGGTTTTATTATCTATGTTCATCAGGGACATTGGCCCATATTTTTTTCTGTTTTTGTAGTATCTTTATCCAGTTTTAGAATTACGATAATGCTGACCTTGTAAAATGAGCTTGGAGTCTTCCCTCCTCTTGAATTTTCTGAAATAATTTAAAGATAGGTGTTAGTTCTTCTTAGAACATTTGGTTAAATTCACCTGTGAGGCTATTCAGTCCATGGCTTTTGTTTGTTGGGAGTTTTTTTGTTACAGCTTCAAATTCACTAGGTATAATCTGTCTATTTAGATTCTCTGATTCTTCCTATGTTAGTTCAGTTAGTTCACAGGGATGTCCACTTTCAGACAAGAAGAATTAGAAGCCATCCAAATTGTAAATGAAGAAGTATAATTACCTTTGTTAGCAGATGCCATGATAGTGTACAAAGAAAATGCTAAAGATTCTGCCAATCAGGAAGATTGTATGTTTCTTGGAATTTACCATTCCATCCAGGTTGTCCAATTTGTTGACATATAGTTGTTCATAATATTTTCTTGCAATCCCTTAAATGTCAATGGTGTCAGTTGTTATTTCTCCTCTTTCATTTCTGATTTTATTTATTTGGGTCCTCTCTCTGATTTTCTTGATCTGGTTAAAGGTTTGTCAATCTTGTTTATCCTTTTCAAGGAACCATCTATTGAAAAGATTCATTGATCTTTTGTTTCATTTTTTAGATTCAATATCATTTATTTCTGCTTTGATCTTATTTCTTTTTCCTACTCACTTTGGGCTTTGCTTGCTTTTCTTTTTCAAGTTCCTTTAAGTGTAAAGTTAGATTGTTTATTTGAGCTTTTTCTTGTTTTTGATAGGCCTGTAAGGCTATGAATTCCCCTCTTAGGGTTGCTTTCCATGTGTCCCACAGATTTTGAGTTTTTGTGTTCCTGTTGTCATTTGTTTCAAGGAATCTTTTGATATCTTCCTTGATCTCATTGTCAACCCATTCACTGTGTAACAACATGTTATTTAGCTTATATGTCTTTATGTATTTTTCAGTGTAATTCCTGTGATTGATTTCTAGTTTTGTAGCATTTTAGTCAAAGAAGATAGGATTTCAATCTTCTTAAATATATTGAGACTTGTTTTGTATCCTAACATGTGGTCCATCCTAGAAAATGCTCTACGTGTACTTTAAAAGTACGTATATTCTGCTGCTTTTGCTTAAAATGTTCTAGAGATATCAATTAAATCCATTTTATCTAATGTGTTATTTAAGGCTGTTTCCCTTTTGATCTTCTGTCTGGAAGATCTATCCATTGAGGTCAATGGAGTGTTAAAATTTTGTACTATGACCGTATTTTAGTAGATCTCTCTCTTTACATCCATCAGGATTTGCTTAATATACTTAGGTGCTCCTATGTTGGGTGCATAAATGTTTACTAGAGTTAAATCTTCTTGATGGATTGTTTTCTTTATCATCATGTAGTGTCCTTCTTTGTTTCTTTCTATAGACTTGGTTTTAAAGTCTTTTTGTCAGATATAAGCATTGCTATTCCAACTTTTTCTTTCATTTCCACTTGTATGAAATATATTTTTTCCATATCTACTTTCAATCTGTGTACATTTACAATCCAAGGTGGGTCTCTTGGAGACAGCATATATATGGGTCTTGTTTTCATATCCATTCAGCTACCCTATGTCTTTTGAATGGAGCATTTAAGCCATTTACATTTAAGGTGATTACTGATATATATTATGTATTATCATTTTATTTTTTAAATATTTTCATCTTTCTTTTCCTTCTTCTTCTTAAGACAAGCTCTTTAACATCTGTTGCAGTACTAGTTTGATGTTAACAAACTCCTTTAGCTTATACTTGTCTAAGATTTTTATTCCTCCTTCGGTATTAAATGATAGCCTTGCTGGGTAAAGTAGCCTTGATTGTAGGTCCTTGTTTTTTATCACTTTGAATATTTCATGCCAGTGCCTTCTGGCCTGAAATGTTTCTGTTGAGAGATCAGATGACTGTTTAATCAGAGCTCCCTTGTAGATAACTACTGGCTTTTCGACTGCCACTTTTAGGATTCTGTCGTCATTAAGCTTTGCCAGTTTAATTATGATGTCTTGGTATAGACGTCTTTGGGTCCAACTTGTTTGGGCCTCTCTGCACTTACTGGACTCGTGTGTCTTTTTCAAAAGATGCTTGCTAAATGGGTAAGTAAAAAAAGAAATAAATACATTGTGCCACAGATAACATTCACATCTTCTGTACATGTGTTTGGATTTTTTAATATTGTGTTTCCAAATCATCTTTCAGGACAAATTTAACCCTTAAAATGTAAGTAGATAGTTTGTGACTCATGTATTTAACTTTTTCTCTTTAAACAAATAGATTAGATGACAAAGGCCAAGTGGTTCGCATCAACTTCAACAATGCAACAAGAGATACAATATTTGACGTACCTGTTGAAAAAGTTCAGCCATTTTATACTGCTCTGAAGGAGTTTGTGGACCTCATGAACTGTAAAGAATCCAAGTTCACTTTTAAGATGAATCCAGGTCAGTGAACATGTTTTCTCAAACAACTGAGAGGATGCATTTTCTTCTATCTTAACCACTTAAAGCAATATGCAAAGCCATTTTTTCAAGCATGAACTATGGAATATGACAGTAGAATCTTGGTTAGCAGCCAACTTGCTTAAAGAGCAGACTCATGGCCCCAACTCCTGACTCTCTGGACTTTAAAATATTCATGTTTATCAAAGCTCTTACGTACTCCTTAAGCACACCAAAATTTAATAACCTCCAACCTAAAGAATAAATACTTGAAAGACAAACTATAGGCCAAATGGAATCTAATGTCTGTTATGAAGACTGATGACTTATATTTTCTATCCTGATAACCAACCAACATAAACTGAAGTTTGTACTCAATTATTCTATCCTGGTAAACAAATAAAATTACCCTCATGGTTCTCACTCTAAACTACATGAGTGGTTTTCACTCCTTAAGCTTATCTGATCTGGCAGACCAGTGCCACCTGAAATAAAGCAGTACTTGAAATATTCCAGCTACTTGAAATAAAGGAGCAGAAAGCACTGTGTTTTTCCTGGACTATATTGACTCAGTAAAGTGACAGTAAAGACTCAGTAAAGACTCAAGGCTTTTGATACTTAAAATAAAAAGCATAATTTCTTTCTGAGGTTGCTTTGACTAAGTGGAAGATTCTTTTCACTTGTTGTTATTTTTTAATTGATCGTGGTATGATACAGTAATGCTAAAAATATCCATAAGCCTGCTGTTTTTTTATTCTTGGCAATCATGCCAGGTTGATTTTAAGAGCAGTGATGGGTAAAATGGAGATACCATGGGAGAAAAATACAATATAGTTAGGAGTTGGAATCCAAACTTCACCATTTAATGGAATCATAGCTTTGGGCAAATCCCTTAATTTCTCAGAACCTCAGTTTTCTTATATATGAAAAGATGAGATAGTATTCTCTTTTTATGATTCTTCTGAGGCTTAGAAATAATATACATGAAATATAAGAAACATAGAAGACAAACCAAGAATGTCACTATTTTTATAATTATTTGAGGCTGTTAAGCTGGAAATAACTATTTCTAAGGAAGAGATAAGTAGCAGTCAAGAAGAACAATTCAAAAGTTTTCAAGTACAATTCAAGTAAGAACTATAAAAGTGTCCACAGGAGTCTGCCAGGCTATGTAGTTTAAATGTCACAGTGTCTAAAGCTGTTTGTACCCTGTGGCCTGATTTGTGTGAAAAGTGGATGTATGGGTTTTAAGTAAAGAAATAAACATACTCTTTCTTGATGTGAACTGAGTAGCAATGATATTTTGCACTTTGCATTTCCTGAACGCAGTGCCTTAGACCACTCGACCATCCTGACAATTTTTTGCATTTTCTATCTCTGCAAATTTTAAGACATGATAATTCATATTGAAAACCTCTTTTATCTAGGTGATGTGATTACTTTTGATAATTGGCGCTTGCTTCATGGTCGAAGTAGCTATGAAGCAGGAACTGAGATATCCCGCCATCTAGAAGGAGCTTATGCTGACTGGGATGTGGTAATGTCCAGGCTTCGCATCTTAAGGAAGAGTATCCAGGACAGAGACTGAATCTTCTGACTATAATTTCAGTAAGATTCCAATGAGTGTATTTGGTAAGATGATGTAAGGATGTCTCCACAGGCCACAATCCACAGGCCACAGGCCACAATCATTTACATACTAATTGCTTTAAACTGATTGTGTCACCTTTCTCACAAGAATTTTTTCTATGTAATCATCTCTAATGCCAACTCTTTAGATATTTGTAGCAGTGTTCTTTCTCTTCCAAACAAGGCATGCCTTCTGTTCTAGCACTTGTATGATCTAATTTCTTTTGCCTGTCAATGGGAGTCTTCAGAATGCCTAGAAATAGCTTTGTATCAAATAAAACCTTTCTTCAAATCACACCATTTTAAAGAAAGCTCATGTTTCAAATAAATCTTGTGTTCCAAATAAAATTTATCTCATATAAAACATGTTTTTGCTCTGTTGTCCATAAGGTATCATCTTTCGTGACTATATATGACTATCTTCAGCATGCTTGAGAAAAGCCTTCATGTTTTCAAAGATTTGTTTTCTTGTGTTAAAGAATTCTATTACCCAAATTTCCAGACCTCACAGACCTGGTGATCTCAAAATTTCCTTTAAGCCTAAATTATGACACCAAACACAAACATGCCAAATTAAGAAGAAATCTAGTTTCCCTAAGTATCTATGTTCCCTTCTCTGTCCCTGCCAGAAAAAAGCAGCCTCAGCATTACTATTTGCTGAAATCCTGGTGGTATGTAGACTTTTAGTCCATACATTTTGGGCCCTCAACAAGCCTTCTATTTTGAAAGTCTTAACCACTGCCACCATGGCCAAACTCTACCTATTGCCTTAAGACCAAGTCAAAACACTACCTCCAATTATGTTTTAACTTTGTTTCACATTCAGAATGCACCCACAGCACTGGGGAGCCTGGATCTAGAGCACCCTAAGCCCATGTCAACACACCCCTCTGATTCTCTGAGCTCTGGCATTGAGTCTACATCCCCAGCTCAGACGCCCCATTCCCTTATAATACCGACCCTTTCTGGGGCCTTCATTGTCTTTTTCTATAATCTGGTCTTGATTGGAGTGACTATAGTATATCACCCACTTGATTCCTTTGAGCTTCAAAAAGAATTGGTTGGGTTCTCAATCCCATCTCTCCTAAGACACTCCTAGAATGAAAGCCAGGTGAGTTCAAAGGGACATGGTCTGTCCTAAGGGAGAGCATTCAATACCTAAAAATGAATAATTCCCTGGAGTGACCCTAGCTCCATCGATTCACAGCATCTAAACCCTAGGCACTTGCCAAGATGAAGTGATTTCTTAAACTTCTTTCACTCAACAGATATTTATCACATACATACCTGGTACATGTCAGGCACTCTATTAGACCAAGGACACCCAAGGACTTGAGATGTGCCTGCTAACAGTCTGGTAGGGAAACAGATAAGGATATAGATGAGGATATGTTATGTCAACAGAATGGTTCACAGGAAACCTAATTGTTTTCCAGGCAATGATGGGAAATGATGTTCCAAGTCAAAGGACAGAGGAAGCACAGAGAATTGACAGCAAACACAGCACATGCATTGACACACAAGTGAGAGAGTATAATATAACAGTGGTATAAATTCTGGATTTGGGTCCTAGGTTCAAATCATAATAATGACTATCAGTTGTTAACTGTGTATCTTTGGACAATTACCTCTCCTCTTAAGCTTTAGTTTTTCTATCTATTAATGCAACTAACAATAGTTCTTATATCATTAATCTTTAGTAAATGAAAAGCTTATGTAAAGCATTGTTTTCCCAATCTTCTCAGATGGTAAGAGCCATCATGATGTTTTTGTGTTTGTTTTGTTTTGTTTTGTTTTTTATTGTAACTTCCAAGGCTCATTTCCTGAAGATTAGGATTCAGTGGGTCTGGAATAGAGACCAGGAATTGTATTCTTAGCAAGCATCCCTGGTGATATGTATCAACAGAGAACTTTGGAAAATATCGATTTAAAGATTTTAGCATAGTTCCTTGCTTAGGGTAAGTGCTCAATAGATGTTAACTATTATTATGTCTAATAACACAGGTTGTAGCAAGAGAGGGTGGATTGGAGTGAGAAGACATCTATGAAGCTGCAGACAGAGATGGGAGCCAAGTCACGAAATGTTGAAACGTGTTACAGTGACGAGTTGATGTTTAATCTTGAAAGCAATGAGGATCCATTTAAAGTCTTTCAAGCAATAAAGTGCCTTGATCAGATATTCATTTTGTAAAGATCCATCTGGCTACATCGTGGAGGGAATTGTAAATGAGAAAGACTAGAGACCATAAATCTACTTATGAGGTTATAAATCTACTGCAGCAAGCCAGATGAGAAATTAAGAAGATTGCATTAGAATGCTGGGAGAGAGTATAGAGAGATACTTAGAAAGCTAATCCGAGGACTTGATGATGATGACCCACTGCAAGTGACGAATGAGGGAGATTTCTAAGATGTCTCCCAGGATTCCAGTTAGGAGAAATTAACAGTGATTCTGTGTCTAAGGAGAGAAGCCACAATAGCAGAAGCAAGCTTGTGGGCAAGAAAATGAAGCCAGTTTTGAACAGACTGAACTTGCATTGCCCATGAGCCATTTCATTTAGCAGTTGATTCATATACACATACAGCTCAGGATAAAGACCTAGATTGGAGAACTCTAGTTGGAAAGTATGTAGATAGAGGATGACATCATTATTTGTTTTCCTGGAGACATTTCATGATTGTGACCAAGGTTATAAGCCTCATGGTATGATGATAAGCTAATTATATTGGCCTAGTTTGTGGAATCAGTTACACTCTATACATAAAGAATCAGGTGGCTTGTAGTCAAAATCAGCTAGACCTCTTACATGTTGTATTTTGTCGTTAGAAGACAGCGTCTTAAGGCAGCACCCCACAGACTGGCTGTTTCCTTCTCTGATGAAAAATTATTCCTCCCTGGAAAGGAAGGACAGAAGGATTGGATACAGTTGCAACAATTTCTGAAGTGTTATACAGGGCATGACACATTATGGGCTATGGGATCTGGTGCCGACTAAAGATGATTAGGTTTCCTGGATATAACAGTCTAAAGATTTGACTTTCCCCCAAACTCATAATAGGTCTGACGTAACTTGGATTAAAATTTACCCCTATTTGGCAGCCTGGACTCACTGTCTGTTCCATTTCTCTCTCTGATTTGACTTGGAGAATATCAACTTCTTGGCTGGTTAATTGGAATAACTCTGCATGTCACCAGAATGACCTGTCACAAGGTGTCTTCATTGGTCTCTACTTCTCCCCCTAGGCCGACCACTAAACAGTGAGTAAATAAATATCTACTAGATACTTAGAGAGAATTTATACAATCAAACTACTTCTATGGAAAAACTGAGTGACACTGAGAGTAATTTCTCAGTTCAGGAATTTAAATTAAGAAACAGGAGACAGCTTATAAACAAAAATACCCCTTTATGTCATTCTCAAAAAAAGTATCCTTTTGAGGATAAATTTGAACTATAAGTTCTTGCAATGAAAATGAGATTTAGTTGGACTTAATGGCTTAGAGTATGTCTCTGGTTCTCTGCACATGTTTTTCTAGCTGCCCAAAATCCTCTTTCCTATCACCTTTTTTGCCTGGAAGACTTCTTCTCTCCCTTCAAAATTCCAGTTTAAGTTTCACCTCTCCTGTGAATCCTCCCCTGGTTCTCCCAGTCATGCTTAAACACCCTTTCCTAGGCTTCCACCAAGCCTTACACAATACACATTTTTATATTCATCCATTCTAGCAATAATAATGCATACCTACTATGTGCCAGACACTATTCAGGGTACTGTTATTCAAGACAGACATAAGGGACTTCAGAAAGCTAAGGGTCCAGTAGGAATATCAAAAACTGCTCAAATAGTCACAGAAATAAATTACTAATTCTGGTCAATGCTATAGATAAAAAGTCCAAGAAGCTACAAGATCATAAAATAAGAAGGCAGGACTAATCTCCGGGGAGTGGAGCGCAGGGAAGGCCTCTCCTGAGGAAGTGAGATGCTGGTTGATGCTTCAATTCTGAATCTAACAATAAGGAAACTGTTTATCTCACAAAACACAAAGTCCAGGATATAAGGCTGGCTCCCCACATTGTACCTCCCCAGTCCCACATCTCTGGTTCTCCTGGTTCTGTCTTCCTTTACGAGTGTGCTTTATCCTCAAACTGATAAAATGGACAAAAATAAAGAGACTCCCTTTTGTGCCTCTTTCTTAAAAGGGGATAAATCTTCCTTAAAAACCCCCCTGCAGGTTTTCTCTAATACCTCCCCAACCAGAATGGTGTCAAATATACTCCCATAAACTAATTACAGCTATAGGAAATGAAATTTCCATGATTAACTCAAATGAATCAGGATATACCCTCAGGCTAGGGAGGTGGTCCCTGGTGTACAAGACTGTGTGGTGGAGTGCATAGCTAAAAAACTAGGATGAAGATGAACGTTAGATGACACGCAGGCAACCACCAGTGTCTGCTCTAGACAAGAAATATTTGTCTTGGTAAAAGGAGAGAGCAAGCAGGCAGGGTCAACCTACCAGGAGAACAAAAAGAGTAAGGGCTTTGACCTAGTAGGCAAGATGCTACTCTTGAAAAAACAGATCAAGGTTATGAGTCTCGCTACTGAGTAGCCCACCAACAGTGTCCAATAGATTGTGAACTCTTTAGGCAAGAGAGATTTTTATTTGTGTCTCCCCAGTGCCTAAATATTTGTGGAACAAATGAAAGGAGCTAGGAGGATGATTGTTTGTTTGAGTATTCTCCATTTGACATCTTGATGAAACCCAAATCTCATCTCCAGGAAGTCATCTAGAGAAGTCCCAATTTTTGTAACCCACAGAACTTCACTTCTCTTCCCTCCTAACACATGTCATCTATACACGTACCCAAACCAAGCCTCAAATGCTTTTCCGTTTTCTACCTGGATCAGGCCATACACCAATTACAAACATCCCAGCAGGGAACTTCCAGTTTCCAGACTATCATATAAGGAGCTTCAAAGTCCTCACTTCACCCCCCAAAAAAGGTAAAAAGCTAAACAAATAGAAAAATGAGTAACTCTTCTCAGATTCATCAGACAAGGGAAGTCACAGGGCAAACACCGCTGCCTCCAAAACTGCAGAGACAAACCGGCAAGTACAGAGAATCACAACTTCCCGGAGCAGCAACCTCCGCAGGAACCAGTGCCAGGGCAGGGAAACCTGATGAGCAGTGGACAAATTGCTAAAGGCCCCGTGTGGACAAACCTAAAATATAAAAATTCTAGATGGACCCAGTCATAGAGAGGCCTTCACATTTTTTTTGGGGGGGGTGGGCGGTTACCTCCAGGAGCTCTGATAGATATTCATAGTGAATATCAGAAAAATTGCCTGTGTTTCCAGGAGGG